AAAAGTGCCCAGCATGCATGCAAACACCTCCATTACTGTTTAAATCACATGATGCACCTCATGAAACTGGAATCTAGACAAACAAGTTCAAATATTAGAGATGTTTTGATTTGTTATGATTCTAATACTTGCATTTGTGCTATTTTATAGCTTGATGACTTTACTATTCCACTGATCCATACATTATCCAAACCGTTTGTTTTACGTAAGGTTCACTTTACTATTCCAAAATGTTAAAAAATAGTCATATTTAAAAAAAGTTTGGTATGTCCAAACTTTTGACTGGTTGTGTATATTTTTGTACAAATACATCTGGGGCCTGTTTCATAAAACAAGTTTACCAAATAAGCCAGGTTTATTTCAGTTAGTCTGACTTATTGTCAGTTGATTTGGTTCAAAATAAGTCAGAATAACTGAAAAAAGCCTGGCTTATTTGGTAAACTTGTTTTATGAAACAGGATGTATAATATGTAATAATATTTACACACAAGTATATGATGTTGTCATACTGGAAGCCCATAATCTGTGTGACTCAAGTGTTATCTGTGGCGTCCCAAATGAAGAGAAATGCAAACGCAGCTTGTGATTCTCTGGTCAGGCAGTCGGTCCAGGCCAGGCTCAGTTAGTCCTGAGCTTATGTCTGAAAAGGATCTTGGAAATGATTTACGCAGAACACAGGTCACACAGATCTCAGAGTAATCACTCCACTATTGTGAGTAATTACCATGGACACATGATATAACCTTACGCTGACAGTCTCAGACTTCCACCAACCCTCTCAGCGTCTTGTCTCTTGCCTTTACAGTGCCTGCATGTGGCATGCTTTGAGTCTCGAGTTGTGCTACTTTTCAAAACAAACGGATCATTGTCAACAAGAATGTGGCCTGGAAGATAAAATTGTGCGGACTGAACCATCATGACTTCCCACGCAAGCCTCTCGTTGCTCTCTCAGATCGGTGACAGCATCAGATGACACATCAGAGGCGGAGGCGCGGGGTTTACTGGAGGCAAAACAAACACAATCCCACAAAGACCTCAGCCTGTGTGTTTGCTCTGAGCTGTGGCCGTGTCACCTATACGACTGAATAACTCTGGCCTGACATAACACGGCTTCGTAAGCTGCTTGCGTGACAAGGTGTCTATCGTGTGCAATACTGAAACTATCAGGTTAAGCAGAGGAACTCGGGATGAGTGTTGAGAACATATAAAGGCCTTCATTTTGTAAACATACAACTGCTTTTAAAGAGAGAATCACTTTTGTGATTGTACCTCTATAATGGATCTTTTTCACATTTCTAGGTCACTCCCACAGCCGCTATATTAACACCCTCACAGCAGCTAGTTTTTTTTTCTAGTTTGATGCAAAGGTAATATAATACAAAGTATAGCGTTATAAATGTAAAAAAAATGTTTTATATAAAACACTTTGCAGGATTTACGGTTGAAACGAGACATCACAGTCTGTGAAAAGGGTCTGTAAGTCTATAGAGGAAAGAAAACATCCAAAATAGACGTTTTAAGTGTTTATTAGACTTTATCTATTTGTATATATCTGTAAAAAATATTTTCTCAAAAAAAACATTTTTTCATGCACTGAGCCAGAAATCTCAAAATCAGTTGCATTTTACCGAACTTTACACTTTTATTCAAAATCAGTGTCATTATTTTTAACTAAAACTAAAGTTATTAAAAATCGTTTTTGGTCATTGAAATAAAACTGAAGAAAAATAGAATATGGATATTAGATGGAAAAACTTCAACTTAAAAACTTAAGCAGAAATTGGGAGTGTTGCCATGGCAACTAATTAAAAAAGGTTTAATTTGATGTACTAAAATCACTAAAACTAAACCTATATATAAGCTTATTCAAAATATTAATACATGCTGTAATAGTGTATAAATAATACTAAAATAACACTGATCAGAATCGATAAAAACACACAAATCGGGATTCTCTGAACACTTCTCTGCACTGATGTGCAGCTCTTCTCTTAGCTTTAAGCAGCTGTAAGAATTTTTTGTAATACTGAATAAAACACATCTCTACTAGCGAGCATATATCATTATAATAGGAGTCCTGAGCAATCACGCCTGCAGCTCTAGAGTCTGTAAACGGCAAAAACTGTCCAAAAGTTAGCCAATGAGAAACACTCTCTACCCGTCAGTCATGTTGGACTGTAGGTTTTTGCTTGAAATTAGCTGCTTGCCAAAACTACCTGAAATGACTTCACGCAGGTTTAGGCCATCAGGCAAGCGTGAAACAGAGGTTATCTGTTGAATGTAAGCTGCTGTTGACTTTCACCTGCATTCCTGCAGTGACTCACGCGCTGCGGTCTGAGCAGAGACGACGGCTGTCACACACTGCTGTGAAAGCTGCCCTTCACCCTGTCACACACGTGAGGAGCGCTTCACTAGCACTTCCATGGGGAATCCCGTCTCAAACATTACATCATTACTGACAGCCAGCAGTCCAGATATGGATGGAGGAGGTTCGAGAAGCGCTCAGCTGTGTGTGTTCAGGATTTGGCACAAAGGGACAAAATGTTAAGCTGCTGCACAGACACATACACTAAAATCACTAAAAATACACCCAAACTGTCCCGTATACATTCCTGCTTCTTCACAGAAATAGAGCACACTTTGGTGTCATATTACTATTACTATTTGGTGTCATTACTTTTCAGTTAGTGAGAACTGTTAGACGTGTTGATTACCTATTATATACATATATTAACCTAGCATGAAAACTAGCTACTTTTATATATATCAAATATCTGCTATCAAAAAAGGTGGGTTTTGCCCTGGCCCACCTCAGAAAGTTTGATCTTGTCAACTCATTTAAGGAATAAAATCAATCAACAATGCCATTCGTTTGATTCAGTAATGTATTCAGTTGATATAACATGAATTGTAGTAAAGATATTTTAAGAAGTTTAATTTATTCATTTAATTATGGGCCTGTTACTAAACTTAGAAAACATTTGACACAATTTAATTTAATTTGTAACAATTTATAACATAAATATTCTATTATAAAACATAATTTGGGCCCTTTCAACGGCACGCATAAAAATAATAATAATAATAAATAAGTTCTTACACAGACTTTGTTGCTTATTCATCTAGCTCAACCATTAGTAACCACGATCGTAATATTATTGAAAAATAATAATCAGAAATATAATTTGATCAATAACAATGCACCAACATTTGGTCCAAACTATTTAGTAACAGTTTAATTAGGTTATTTTGCAGGCCTCTTCATTCATTCATTCATTCATTCATTCATTCCTTTAAAGCACTTTTCAACTGCACCTGCAGACCAAAGTGCTGTACAATCAACATACAACTACATACAATACACAAACAAACACTCGAGTAAAAATAAAATAAAAAATGCAAACACTGACCATATATTTATGTATTTATTTGTTTATTTATTAATTTTATTCATTTACTTGTTATATATTTTGTTTATTTTATATTATTTAACATTATTAATGATATTTATTACTAATATTTCCATTCATTCATTCATCCAAATTCTGACTAACAAAAACTTGCAAATCAGGAAGAAGAAAAAAACAACTCAAATAATGAGGTTTATTGTTAAATTCTGAAGTTTAAGCACTTGCTGAAAAAGAAAAACAAACTTTATTCATCATTTCAAACTCAAACTTGTACCCTATTCATGGAAAGTGCCTTCTCTTGTATTGATGTGTATTGAAAGTGAAGGCAGCCCCAAACAGAGCGTCCACCTCTCTATGTTTCAGCAGTGCACAATTATTCTCCAGACTGCAGTGTACTTTGAGTTCACTGTGCAATCAGGGAACTCCAGCACCACACCCACAAATCCAAATAAAGTCTGAAAGCAGACTGTAACTAGCTTCACCTGGCCGTGACGACATCACGAGGCTGACGTGTCTTCCTAGAAAGATAAGGTCACCATGGCACATGTTTTCAAAACTGCACGGCTGGAGTTTCGGATGAAACCGCATCGCGCTGGGAGCAGCCAGGCATGGAGATGGTTTGTTTTCATACAGTCAGAAAAAATGTGCAAAATTTGTACCTTCAGGGGTACAATGGCTTGTCACTGGGGCAGTACCCTCAAGGGTACACCCGTTGTACCCTTTCACATGGTTACATATCTGTACCCTTGCAGTATGTACCTTTCAAAGGCAAATATGTACCTCTGCTGACTAAATTGTACCTTATAGTGCTATGGTACCATAATGTACCTTTAAAAAAGGTGCAAATTCGTCCTTTTAAGGGTACTGCCCCAGTGACAAGCCTTTTGTACCCTTTGATGGCAAATTTGTACTCCTTACAGCACATTAAAAAAGCCAGAATGCTGTTTATCACATTTATTAAACATTCAAAACCATTACATTCTCATTTTTCACAGGATGAATGTTATAAGCTCCATCACAATGTCATAACAGAATGCATATATTGCGCAATTTTACTTTTGGGAAAAAAAAAGTTAACTTTTTATACTCAAAATTGTAAACAGCAAGAATCAAAAAGCAATTTTTTTCCAACAGTACACATTTCATTAATTGTTACTTTTAAAAACGATTTGTATTTGTACAACTTTATACCCTTAAAACATTTAATCACAAACACACATTTCACCAAATACAGTACTACACATTTAATTTGAACTTTCTTAAACATTCTTAAGGATCACAAACAATTTATCATCAGCAGGGTACGCATCAAGGGCCTGAACGTCCATCTCTTACCCTGGTTTTATAACACTCCATTCAAAGTCATCTTTTACTGTGTATGCATGGAAGTGTGAATCATACGACACTGGTATTAAAAACTTCCCACACAGAAACCACACTATTGACATTTAAAATGTATTTAATTTGGAAAAATAGAGGAATGTGTACCGGGGTATTTCTGTTTTTCATTAAGCGCCATCTAAAGTCAGGGAGTGAATTTGCACGTTCACTCGGCTCATAGCCTGCGAAAATTGCTTGGGTATGAATAAAGCCATCCTTGAAGCGCTGGCTTAAACTGACAGTTGATGAATGCATTCGGTCAACTTAATCACACAACTGAAAATTGACAGAAAGAGAAAGTTAATCATTCACATTAACTAAAAATCAAATCAGACATTTTAATATTCTTTGTTGCCTCTTTCGTTGCCATTTCCCTTTAGTAATACCACTGTACAAATATTTCTAAGCTTGAATGCACATATATTTGTTCACCTGAAGGTTTAGAAAATTACAATGTTTTTACAAAAGTTATAACTGTGAATGATCATTTTAGCATACTGTTTGTTTATATCGATATTCAACATTTATTTTAAGCTGAGAACTGATTTAAAATCTGTGATATCACTGACCTCTGAGAGTGTTTTTAAGAAAGGGTATTTCTTAAGTATATCCTCCACAGTCATTCCATCTCTTATCTCCCTTCTTTGCCACGCAAACGTTCGCTGCATTCGGTCTTTGACCACCAAGGTGTCTGGTCGCACTTTGCTGTACTGGATATGCAGGACATTCACATGACCCTCAACAGAGGATGCATCCTCACCAATGACAGCAATCGCCTATTGGATCAAATCTAAAAGTCCATAATAATAATAATAAATGTTAAACCTCAAAACACATGATGTCATTCACCATTTCCTTACATTTTTATGATCACAAAGAGAGATATTCAATTTAAGGCTGCACAATGAATTCATTAAAAAAATAGTTATTATGCAAATGAGTAATTCCATGTCAAATCAACCAAATTTCAGAAACTTCCCTGGTTCAAATTTGTAATTTTGTTAATATTTTTAATATTTATTTTATTCGTCGTTCCAGCCCTACTTAACTGCATCATATATTATAAATATAAAAACTCCACATTTTAAATGTTTAGCACATCATATAAACGGAGTTTCTTTTGTGTGTGCTGCTGGGCCACCCTGCTTTCTAAGATATTGGCATCAGACATAAAAAAAAAATCAATATTGGTCAACCACTAAACATAGGACAAATATAATACACAATACTCAATGTTATACTTACATTTCTGTAGTCAAAGTTTGTTGATAGGATTCTGCTGGCACTGATTATAGTGTTGTTGTTCCCACCTCCTTCATCTTGTGTACAAATTTGTTAAACTTGGCCTGTTTTTTAAAGGAGCCTTGAAATAAATGTGAGATCATGTTCTCCGTGAGACCACACTCTACTGTTTCCCCATCCACCTCATTTTCTGAAAGTAAAAAAAAGAATGATCAGTGTGAGCTCGAGGTTTTAATAATTTTAACAATTATTTAAACAATACAGTCAATGTATTTTTAATGAGCATTCATCAGTATAAAAAAATTACTTCCATTTAGAAAAATACACAATAACTCTGTATGTATACACTCTCAGAAGAAGGTACAAAACTGTCACTGGTGCAGTACCTTAAGGTACAAAAGCTAAAAGGTACTAATATGTACACTAACAGAGAAATTTACTTTTTTTCTGAGAGTGTATGATAGAAGCAATATTATTTAAATTAGCAGCTCAAAGACTAGAAACTTATTTCACGAGTTTTAACCAGTTTTGATAAATAATGGTAAACAAATTTCACTCGACTTGCTGTCCTTGGAAGGGCTCAAAGCCGACGCACGCCTCGATGTCCGAGCTAAATCGCCTCAGTTGAGTTAGTTCGCTCGTGATGACTGACAGGACTAAATTATTAGAACACTCCTGGACTTATATTTAGAACGGTTTTTGTTTTTTTAAATCTGGACCAAATAAAACTAATATAAATCAACACGGATGATATTCGTAAATTATATAATTTCAGACGGACTAGGAGAGGCGTTAAAATAAAAGAGGCGTTCGCTTGCGTCCGGTGTGAACACGGGTAACAGTAAGAAAATAATGGGAAACTGAATTTATAAATCTGTGGTTCCACATTGAGACCCAGCTTTAGTTAAAATAAAAGCCGATTCACACAAAACGCGATGGGTTTGAACGGTTTCTATGGCCGTTTTACCGCTGTTTTGTCAGCGTCTCGAGCACTGTCTCGCGGTAGAGTAAGTTATAAGTTATGCGAAAAGTAACATTTTAATTTCTAGCTAAATAATAAAAACAATTGTTATAATAACAATAAGCTTAAAATGTAATAACAATGCGTTGGTTTTGTCGGGTCAGTGTTTTCGAGTTTCCCTCTAACGTTAGGCCTAGCTACAGACGCAATGTTAAAATGCACCGTGCGGGCTATAATCCCATTGGACGACACGAATTTAAAGAAGGCTGGCTGCGAAAATGCGTACTTGAACTTTGAAGCAAAGTAAAAGTACCCCATATAATGTTAAATAAACGTTAAATAGTTTCGTCTACATTGTGCTTTTGTTAAGAAAGATAAGTACATGTATTTGTTTAACTCTAAATGAATTACAATTACAATTAAAAATGCAGGCCTACTTTAATACATTTGCTTTATGTTTAAAAGTTATTATCTTGATGCGCTGAATAATCATTTAAATGTCATGCGTTTGTATACTGTTCAGAACTAGTCAGTAAAGATGTGGGCTCTTAAATATATTTGGTTATGTTGTGCATCTCTTCCAAATAACCAACAACTCATGAAAATTAATATCTTACTCTATGTTTAATCTATTTTGGGTGACCGTTTCATACACTTTGGCTTAATCCAAGTGATTGTACCTTTGTTTGGGGATTAAATGGTCCAAACATGGACCCTCTGACAGTTGGAAACATATTTGTACCTTTTTTACCCCTAAATGGTACATATGAGTACCCTAAGGTGTGACTATGACCCATTAAGGGTACAACTTCACCATTTGTACCCTAAGTGTTCACAAACGGACCCCAACC